AGATAAAAATGACGACCACAGATAAAATGACGACCACCTATTCAAACAACATACTACCTGGAAGAAATAATGCGGAATGTCAGTTAAACTTATTCTCCACCATCAGCAGTAGAATTACTACAACGACGAAGCTTTAAAACTTACGAAGCCGTGAAACTGTTCCCGCAAAACCACACCACTTAAGAAGCCGTAAATCACACCATTATGAAGCCGCGAAACCACACCATTTATGAAGACGTGAAATCACACATCATTTACGATGTGTAATACCACTCACGAAGCCGCGAAACCACACCATTTACGAAGCCGCAAAACCACATCACTTACGACGCCGTAAAACCACATTACTTATTCACCAGCGACGACGCGTCAACACGACGAAGTCAGCTTGGTTCGCTATTCAGAAAGAAAAAAGTGTTGGCACGTTCACGGATCAGAACTAAAAAAAAAGAATCGTGTAAACCTCCAGAAACGACGTAATTCATTACCTGAACAGCAATTATAGTAACAACGGCATTAACAAGTTACGGCAACACAGGTAATACGACACCTATAACGATGACACCAGTAACGACAACACCGGAATGGACGAAATTCTGTTGCTTGAAAGAAAATACAAAAAAAAAACTGATGATCATTATCGATGATCATCAGTTTATTTATCCCGTGATCTAGGGTTGCGGACGTTTAAAATATGCGGAATCTGCGGTGTGCAGATTGAAAATTAATTCCGCAAGTAAATTTTCCTTTGAATCTGCGGATTTATTATGTGTCATAAAGCTCACGCGTCTTTTTTTAAAAAAAAATTTATTATGTTTACAGGAATTATCAATGTTTCCGCACGTTGAAACAAAATCGAATTTTAAACACTGGTTGCGGATCATTTTTTAAAAAATTTGTTATACGACCTAGAAATTTACTATTTATCACCACTGGTGATTCACCAGCATTGCTATATCCAAAAATGCACTAAGTAAACGGGATCGGGTACTCTAAGTAAAAATGTTCAGGACCCTGCGAGAACTGAAATCAGAACCTTATATCTAATTTATATTATATTATATAAAAAAAAAAATCCTAACCCTAACCCTAGAAATTCTTAGGACTGGTTATGATCACCACTGGTAATATGTAGTAATTTTCTTTTTTTTAATCAACAATAACCAAAATTTAATAGCGATAGCTTTATAGTCGTCAAATTTAGTTAAAGCTAATTCATATTTATAAAGAATTTACTACTTATAGAATAGATCGAAAAAATATCTATCTTTTTTTAAAAAAAATTAGACCATTAATCATTATACTAGTTCGAGTACCGAAAGTTAATATTATCCGCAATAAATTCGGATTTTCATAATTTATGCAGCACTAGCATATGAAGATCATTAATTTCGGATTTATTAATGGTTAAACTTCGATATTTATCATTAGTCAATTTTTTCGACGATTTATATACATTTATTAGCACAAATATCTAACTAAGGTTTATAAATTTTTTTTTTTTAACTTGAAGCTCTCAGCTAGCTCTACATGGTAATAGAGCTACTTTTTTCAATAGTTTACAAAAATCGTTCAATTATTATATAAATATTAAATATTAAATAATTAATTAAATTTTTTAAAAAAATTATTTAAAAATAACTCTATTACCATGAAGAACTAGTTGAGAGCTTCAAGTTAAAAAAAAATTTTTATACATTTTTGTTAGATACTTGTGCCAATAAATGTAATTTAACTTAATATTTAATATATGGTCCGAAATTAATGATCTCATATACTACCCTAACTATGGTTGATTTAATTAGTTGAGGCGCCACCTAGTGCAACGTATTGCCCGGTGCAATAAATTATAAAATAAAAAAAATAATGCTTTCTATTTCGCTCATTACGTAAACAATTGTAACACAAATCATGTCGCTTATCTGCAAGTATCGGTGCGCCATAATAACAAACCTAGGCATATTACAAGTATAATATCGTTATACACAATTTCTCTTCAATAATCAAGAAAAGGACTTCATAAATCAATTTTTTATCTTTAATAAAATAAATAAACGACCCACAGCAACCGCTATTGGCAACAAATTGGTCATTAACTTGAGGAAATGAGCCAAGAAAATGATAAAAATTTTAATCCGATGAATAAATTACAGGCCGCATGGTACTTTGAATTACCACTTTTAAGCATAGATGGACTTAAAGGACTTAAAGCCAAATATATAGGTTAGTTTATGTTTATTTCTCATCTTTATTTCTCAGCTATACGGAATAAATTTTTTATTTTAGCTTGAAGATTTATTTATTAATATTTTAATAAATTGGAATATCCTGATTTTAATTTGAATTTCAATATGATCAATATGAATGGCTCAAAGGTTACATAACTTACTAACTTAGTATAATTCTTTGAATAAAAGGACCTGATAATTTTAAAGATGCGGCTTTAATTCTGTCAAATATTCCGATTCCTTCAAAATATGAATTTTTTTATTTTGAAGTTAAAATTACAGGCGGAACAGACGGAAGAGAAAACGGGTAATAAAATAATAATAAAATTTCTATTATATCGTCAACTCTAAGTGCTGGAATATGGTTCAATTTTTAAAACAACTTTTTCTGGCTAAATTATAACGGTTCATCTCTTTAAGCGAAATTGAGTTAGATGCCTTTAAAAGAATGATTGGAATCGGATTTTGCACAAAGCCAATTGATCAGAATAAAATAACCAACGATTTAGATATCAATCCAATGCCTGGTAATAAGAAAATTTATAATTATTTATTTTTTGGTTTCGTTCATTTCACCAACAATCACTTTAATGACAGCTTATTTTACAGACAAAATTGTTTTACTGACGATTAATTCACAGACAAGTTCATTTCTATTTCACCGACAGCTCATTTCGTCGGCAACGTGTCGTTAGGGTCAGATTTAAATTAGATTTAAGGAATGCAACTTATAAAAAATTTGTCTATGAAATGAGCTGTCGGTGAAATGAACTTGTCCTAATTAATCGTCGGTAAAAAAATTTCGTCTGTAAGTGAATTAAGTTGTCGGTGAAGTGATAGCTTTATAGCAATAGGTAAATACCTTCTTTATGATATACTTTAGGGCAAGAAAATGACTCTTGGGGTTACCATGGCAATGATGGATATTTTTTTTGTTCCGGAAGTGGCGAGCCGTATGGACCATCATACACCACTGGTGATACTATTGGGTGTTATATAAATTTCAAGCAGAATAACATAGTATATTATACTAAAAATGGAGTAAATCTAGGTAATTACTATTTTAGCAATTAAATTTTAACATTTCCAAAGTTTAGATATGAGTTTAATATTTGCATCATGTTTCAAGGAACTGCGTGCTATCTTCCTAAAGGCTTGGAGGGTATTCTATATCCTTGTATTGGACTTAGATCACAAGGAACGGTTGTAGAAGTAAATTTTGGAGATGGAATGTTTAAATATTCTGGAAAGTTATTTAAATAATACACAACGATAATCATTTTTGGAAGTTTAGTATACTTGATGTTATTTAATGCCTAACCTATTTCTATTCATAGTAATGAATGATAAAGATAATAGCAATGAATTAAATAATATATTCACACTTGGATATGAAGAAAAACTAAAAAAATTAACCGTATCTTTGGAGGAAAATCCCAATAATTCAACTGACTTAAGCAATAGAGGAAGAATCTATTTTATTTTAGGAAAATATGAAGAGGCATTTAATGATTTGACCAATTCGCTAAATAATGAATGTGATCTCACAACATTGAGATGTCGGGGAGAAGTTAATTTTTTAATGAAAAAGTATGAGGAATCAATTAATGACTTTAATAATTTGATAACATTTAAATCAGATTATGAATGGGCATCAAAGGCCCTTGAATTCGTTAAAGAAGCGTGAGTAGAATAAACTATAAAATTACATGATCTTGTAAATTTAATGGATATCTAATAATATATTATATCTTATTACATCAGTTGCGTCAACAACACAATCGGACACTATAGTTAGTAAGTTAACAGTATAACCTTCAAGCCAATAATGTCGATAATTCAAATCTAATAACTTATTACAAATACTATAGCGAGTAAGTTAAACAGTACAATAGATAAGAATCTTTTTCAAGTCATAAATACCGATAATTCAATTCTAATATAGCGAGTAAGTTAACAGTAACTGATAAGAATACTTTCATATAAAAATATCAATAATTCAAATAATAATATATTAAATCTATTATATAAATAGAATCAAACACAATAGCGAGTAAGTTAACAATATAACAGAATATTTTTCAAGATAAAAATATCAAAAATTCAATTCCAATAATATTAAACATACTACAACTTATTACTTTCTGTTATGTTAAAATAATTAATTACTAAAGCTTGTAAGTAGCAGTATAATAGATAAGAACGAAAGTTCAATTTAATAATATATTAAATCTATTACATTCTATTACATTACACAAACACTATAGCAAGTAAGTTAATGCTACAGCAGATAAGGATATTTTTCAAATCAAATTATTATTAATTCATAATAACATATTAAATATATTTTCATTCTACTTATCTGTTACATAAACACAATCAAACATTATAGCTCGTAAGTTACAATATAATAGATAAGAATATTTTTCAAGACAAAAAATATCAATAATTAAATTCAATAATATTAAATATATTATATTTCATTACATCTGTTATGTTAACACAATTAAACACTATAGCAAGTAAGTTAACACTATAACAGATAAGAATATTAAGTCAAAAATATCAATTATTCGAGTTTAATATCATATTAAATATACTACATCTTATTAAATCTGTTACGTCAACACAATCAACCATTATAGCAAGTAAGTTAACAATAACTGCTAAGAATATTTTTTAAATCAACAATATCGGTAATTCAATTCTAATAACAAATTAAATATATCTTATTACATTTGATACATTAACACAATCAAACATACTACGATAGTCAGTAAGTAGACAATAATTTTTCAAGTTAGCTATATCGATAATTCAATTCCAATAAAAATTAAATATATTACGTCAATACAATCAAACAATAAAGCAAGTAAGTTAACAGTATAACAGATAAGAGCATTTTTCAAGTCAAAAATACCAATAATTCAAATCCAATAACATATTACAAATATTATTGCAGGTATGTTAACGATAAACTGATAAGAATATTTTTTTAAATCAAAATATTGATAATCCAATTTTAATAATATATTACATCTGTCACATCAACACAACCAAATATTGTAGCAAGTAAGTTAACAGCATAATGGACAAAAATATTTTTCAAGTCAACAATATTGATAATTCAATTCCAATAACAAATTAAATATATTACGTCAACGCAATCAAACAATAAAGCAAGTAAGTTAACAGTTTAGCAAATAAGAATACTCTTCAAGTCAAAAATAACAACATTTCTATTCTAATAACATATTAAACACATTACATCTGTTACGTCAACACTATAGATAGTGAGTTATTAATATAACAGATAATAATATTTTTTAAGTCAAAAATATCGATAATATATCTAATAGCATATTACAAATATTATAGCAGGTAAGTTAGCAATATAACAGCTAAGAATTTTTTTCAAGTTAAAAATATTGATAATCAATTCTAATTATATTACATCTTTTAATTCTGTTATGTCAATACAATCGATTATTATAGATAGTAAGTTAACAATGTAACAGATAAGAATATTTTTCAAGTCAAAAAATCAATAATTCAAATCTAATAACATACTATAGCGAGTAAGTTAATGATAAACTGATAAAAATATTTTTTAAATCTTCGATAATTCAGTTCTAATAACATATTAAATATATTAATCTATCAAATCTATTATGTCAAAAATCTAACAATATAGCTAGTAAGTTAATAGTATAATAGATAAAAATATATTTTCAAGTCAAATATCGATAATTAACTTCTAATAATATATTAAATATATTATACCTTATTATATCTGTTATGTCAACACATTCACAATAGCCTGTAAGTTAACATGATGGGAAAATTTTTAAGTCAAAAATCTATAATTCAATTTTTGTTATATCTGTTACATCAACACAATCAATCATTATAGCAAGTAAGTTAATAGTATAGCATATAAGAATATTTTTCAAGTTAAAAATATCTAATTTAATTTTAATTGCATATTAAATATATTATATCTTATTTGCATCTACTACAATAGTCTGTAAGTTAATAGTATTTCAAGTCAAAATATTGATAATTTAAAATATGTTACTATACGTTAATTGCAATCAAACACTATAGCTCGTAAGTTAACAGATAAGAATATTTTTAAATGAAAATATTAATAATTCAATTCTAACACATTAAATATTTTGTATTTATTATATTTTACGTCATACAAATACTTTAGCAAGTAAGTTAATAGTATAACTAATAAAAATATTTTTATTTTAAGGCAAAAAATATATCGATAATTAAATTCTATTAACATATTAAATGTATTATATTTTATTACATCTGTCATATCAACATAATCATACTTAAAATAGTCGGTAAGTTAACAGTGTAACAGAAAAAACATTATTCAAATCAAAAATATTGATAATAGTATTAAATATATCGTATCTGTTTTGTCAATAAAATCAAATACTACAGCTAGTAAGTTAATAATATGACAGATAAGAATATTTTTCAAATTAAAAATATCAATAATTCAATTCTATATGAATATTTTTTAAGTCAAAAATAATACTAATTCAATTTTAATAACATATTAAATATATTACATTATATTACATCTGTTACACCAACACAATCAAACACTATAGCAAGTAAGTTAATAGCATAACAGATAAGAATATTTTTCAAGTCAAAAATATCGATAATTCAATTTTAATAACATATTACAAATACTATAGCAAGAATATTCTGTAAGTCAACAGCATAACAGATAAGAATATTTTTAAGCAAAAAATCAATAATTCAATTTTATTAACATATTATATCTGTTATGCTAACACATTATAGCTAGTAAGTAAATAGTATAACAATTAAAATATTTTTCAAGACAACAATATCGATAAAACAATTCTAATAATACATAAAATATTTTATATCTTATTATATCTATTATAGCTCGTAAGTTAACTGTATAACATATAAAGAAAAAATTTCAAGCCAAAATATCGATAATT